CACACTTATATACACATCTATCATTCGTGTATGTCCCTTCACTTACTGAAGTATCACGGATGGCGGCAACAAAACGCCTGAAGGTCAAGCATAAATGTCCCTCGAAGTACTGAGGTGAATTTATCAATTGTGTATGTGCCTTTTAACTTCAGTAATTATCAGAGTGACAAGAAAAGGTGTGACTCATCAAGTATCAAGGTGAATCCATTATTCGTGTATGTGCCTTTTAACTGCACCAGATATCACTAAAGGTGACCAGAAGAGGTGTGACTCATGAGTGATAACAGTGTCCTATACTGATCAGTGCATCTATCATTCCTCTAAGTCACTTCATCTGCTGAAGACTCAACCATGACAACCAAAGTGTGACCGTCAAATGTAAATGGTGTCACTAGGAACATAATGGAAGGAATCCCCTTTCACCAGGGAGTGTGGTGACATTGTCTTATGGCATCATCTGTAGTTGGCTCCATGATGGCTAGAGAGGAGGAGAAGACAGATTCCCCCAAGTAGCAGACGTCAAACTTTGATTACAATTCAAGAAGCTCGATCTGTCTGGAGTGAGTTAACATGGACAACAAGGATAAACAATGGATTATTACAATCTAATATACCTTGTCCTGCAGATTAGGCACAGCCAAAAGATAATTCAATGATTCGATTTTGTGTGTCTGCTTCATGTTTCTGGGCAGTCATTGTAGGCTAAGTGACAGGGATAAATATGGGCTCAACTCCAACAAACACATTTGTTTGATGGCTGATTGGTCAAAGGGTCGAAATGATGGGATAATTTTGTTTTCCGTTGTCCCTTGCCGACTCTCTTTGATGCCACCGAAGCTTCAAATTACATGACACTATGGAGTATGTCACATAGATTGCAAGGGTAGATAACTCCATTAATTGACAATACATCACCCCTGCTAATGCTGTCTACTAAATTGATCAAGTCCCCACAAGGGGTCGTAAACAATACTAATAGGCCAAACTCGATTAAGGCTGCAATTTAGGTGTGAGTGTTTCCATGTCCCAAGATCAATAGATCTTATCTACCTACTAGCTATAGTACCTACTGGATCAGCTGTGATACTTTACAGTGAGCACTTACTTAAACGTGAATCATGACCCATAAAATGGGCCAGCTACACATTTCCAGTCTTAGCAAGTGATTCATACTCCTGTGTAATGAGGCTCTTTTTCTGCCTCTTTACTTTCTACTTGGCCTTTAACACCCAAGGGTCAGAGACTATACTATATGGAGTTGCTTCCCTTAGATAGGTCAGGATCAGCTGATTGTTGCTTGGAATCTCAGGTTCGACCCAAATAAGAACCTTCTTCTGCCGGCATCATACATATACTGGTGTGTTTCACTGAAATGGTAACCTGTATCACCTTAGGCTTTCTTCAAACATGAAACCTATCTGCCGTGATATAACTGAATGTTGAAACCCAACACATTCCCTTTAACAAATAACCAAACAATGTGTCTTTTGTCATAAGTTGAAATATGCATGCTCTTGAGGTTTTTTTCTCCAGTTTCTACATGTAATCAGTCATAAGTGTCATGATCTCAGCTACAGTAATCTAGAAACCATCTATATGCTCTCATTATCTAATCCATAATGTTTCAAGTCAAACATGCATACTTTATGGTATACATGTGAGTTTGATCAACTTGTTTAACTAGACATACACTCAAGATACTGACTAATCCTTCCTTTCATGTTCAGGTTATGTACAATGATGTAACTGTCTCAAAGAGCTAATCACTAAGTGTAATTGTGTGAAAGTTCAAAGTGTTTGGTGGTATAAGATACTGAGTCATAATGGTAGACTAACATCTAGTCTCTGAAATGAACATATCGTACAGAAAAAAACAGTTTGTTCAGTTATCTTAATAAAAATATAATAAAAGGGAGCCCAGTGACTCTCTTCATTTTCAGATACTGATACTGCAGTAATCTAGACTTGCCAAACATTATAGACTTGCATGGGCTGTATTTGATATATATTTGTATCAGGGTCTGTAAGACAGACTATCATAATGGCAGAAACAAGGAAATGTGATGATGTGAGTTGGCAGGTTAGTGAGTGAGTGAGAGTGAAATTTGGTTTTAATTTTTGAACAGTGTTCTAGTTGTATAACAGAATGGCAATTATTAGAGAAGGAAACTTAGTGACACAGGTCACAGATGATATGACTTTAGTGACAGACCAAGGCCCACTTGCACAAAGCGAACTTAGTGCTAAGACTATCATAAGCCTATGTTTAAGTATGGGCGTTATGATCATCTTAGTGCTAAGATCGCTTTGTGCAAGTGGGACCAAGGATCATAATGGGCGATATCACTGCTTGGCAACGAAATGATGCAACTCAACACAAAGGGCCACCTGGGTCCCTGGCAAGACTGGCAGACAAAATTGGCAATGCATAACATATAATACATAACATGTATGACTTTGAACATAGCAGAGAAGAGGGGATATATAGGGGAAAACCTGGATTACTTGACCTTGGGCAGTGGAGAAGAGCATCTGGTGGTGATCCAAAAGAAGGGAGATATCACCTGGCTTTAGGCTACAGGGAATATAATAGAGGGGGAACTGAAACACGCTGAGAATAGGATGGCTTTCGATGCTGACAGCTATAATGTGGAACATTTCAATATTGTCTTCCAGTTCCATATAAACACCTGCTTTCTGTACTGCAGTAATGGCAGGCCTAGAACTGTCCCAACTCATAGGCTTTAACATGGATTTATGACATTCATAGTGCTAAGATCACTTTGGAAAGCATGGGTCTGAATAAGTGGCTAGACACCTTGGTATTGCCTGACAAAGCTCATCTAGACATGGCCCATCACTGATCACAGTTATAGAGTGAATAATATTATTGATGAGAAACATTACATACAGATTGCTCTTAAAGTTTTTGGGGGGGCTTTTATCAAATTCTTTGGCACCAAGCTATCATTTCTTATGGTTGTTCTTACAAACATAAACTGTTATATTTTTATTTTTTGGCAGATTGTTTGTTAATATGTGTGATAAGCTTTCTATATTCTCCTTAAGAGCTTCTCAACTGTGTTTGAAGATAAAAGAACAAGGTGATATAAAATCACAGAAATGATTGCATATATTCCTGTTTGAAAATGATCCTTCCTATCAGAGTAAATGTTTAAAACAAAAATCAAAGAAAATCGTCTAACCTTCTGAAATCCAAACCAAGATTGTAGGAGCCACACGCACCAGTGTAAATATTTCTTTCTTATCCGCCACTCAAATGATGCAGGTATAAGTATTGTTTAACAGTATATATCCTCTTTTTTATCATCGAGTGCATAACAGCAATCAATTCTTGTTTGAATTTGTATAATATCACACAGTGGCTGTTGGATTCAGGAAAATATTTAAATGATCCATATCATTTTCTTGAAATAGTAGGCAAACAGTTATCGTTGTAACCTAGGTACTTAACATTTCTATCATCATTATACACAAACCCTCATGCTGGCATGGCAACACTGCTAAAACTCAGGTCTAATGTCTTGGCTGCTCTAATTTTTTTGTCTAAAGATTTGCCTTTTTTGAAGTCTTAGGAATTTCTAGTTTTAAGCCTCTAAAAGTCATCAACTCATTTTTTAAATAATCTGAGTTACCAGTAGTATGTATTGCATTGTTTGTGTATATATGTTAATTCTTTTAGTTCTTAATAGTTTTGTCAGTTTAAAACACAAAACACTCATAACAAAGTTGCACTTTTTGAACTGGTAACTGGTAATTTTAAAGTTTTCGACAGCATTTCTCGCCTTTTCTCTGAAAATACTTCAGTAGCTTATACTGACATTTTTCTCTTCTACATCCCAGCCAACCCCAGGGCATTCAGGAGGATCAGACGTATCGTGCTTATTTCCGTGCTGATTGCGCATGTTTTATCACAAGCCTAAAAGCCTCCAGCTGCCAGTGTGGGTGCAGTGATTGAGTCCCCAGGAATACATGCATTTGTCATTTCCTTCAATTACATCTTAAATCAGAGATAATCGAACAGAAAGGACAAAAACATTAACCATTTGAATGATAAAAATTCAAATATTGGAAAAGGTCTTCAAGCTAAACAGGAGGTCAAAATTCAACATTTTAGTAACCCAATTGTATCAGTTTTCCATAGTTGTATCATGAAGATTTTTAAACAAATACTTAAATAAAGGTTAACAACTCTTCCGGTAGTTAGCAAGGCAGAAAGGAGGACATACAATATCCCTAGCTTGGAGATGGTCCTGTTTGATGTAGTTTCACCAGGGAATACATAGAGTTAATGGGCATGAACTTACAATTTCAATTCCATCAGTTCGACTGAACCATGTTCAACCTATCAGCATGCATTTACAAAAGGTATCATTCAGAACTCACAAAAAAGCTCAAGGGACGGTGCGTAACAGGCAACTAGCCAATGCTGTAACTGTTGTGTTTAATGACTTTAAACGTCTATGGCTGATCAAGGCCAAGATCGTCCCACGAGGAAAAAAATCTCTGTAAATGACAATCAGTTCTTTCGGGAAATTTCTCAAAGCATAATCAAATCTTCTAAATCATTTGTTCCAATAAACAAAATCCTCATGTTTTCATCAGGATGACATAGCATTGTCATTTGTATCTTGGCAGTTCAATATTCCTTTTGTTCCTCTCACCTATGTTAGACGATCGATAACATGGTGCTATTTCCATTGAGTGGGAACAGAAAAGAAATACATTTAACTATTCTTAGGTAGGTATTTCCAGAACTAGGATTGTTTGTAGTGAGTGGGTTTTATTCTGCTTTCAGCAAATTCATGGGGGACACCAAAAATCAGCTTCACACATTGTACTCATGTGGAGAATCAACCAAGGCTTCTGCAGTCGGAGCAAACACCTTAACCACTAGGCTATCCCACTGCTCCAGCGAAGAGATTGTAACAGGTATCAGAGCTAGTGGGATTATGGGACAAGGTATTCCGTGAACCTACCCTCAGCTGTCTGTAGTGATACCAGCTCGCTGTATGGACTTTCCCCAGCATGGTTGTGGGCCTTCACCCGGGCATTGTAAATACTGTGAAAATGTAGTCCGTCCACGGTGCAAATCATCTCCCGCCCCACATACACCACCTGCAACAAAGAAATACTTATTAAACATACACTAAATTAAATGATACTGAAGAGAAGTTATAATGCGGACCTTTTAAGTAATAAAAGCCATGAGAAGGTGCACTTTCTCCACCTAGTTCAATTTCTGCATCCTTGTTTGGAAAATAGTCCAAATTTATTTGTTGGAGCTAATATGAACTCACAAAGGTTTTAGAATGTTCGAATTCACAATGAAAGATGGTCAGGAGGTTCTGTAGCTCACCTTCTACAGTGGAACTGTCCTTGTTTTACCACCTTAATCCCCAGCGCTAGACATGGTAACAACAAGTACCATCTTTTAACACCTTTAGGTTTGATGCGGTTGTGGATCGGACCGCCTAGCTCCTGCTGTCTGAGCATACACTCCACTAGGCTATAAAACACAACTTTCCATAATCTGGAACCCTAATTTCTCGGCTCTTCTATATCATATATCCAAAAAATGTAATTGTTGAGGCTGTGCTGATGCTCTTGTAATCAAAGCATACACCTGGTAATTTACATCTGTAACCTGCAGCAGCAGCATCCATCCCCTACCTTATTTTTTTGCAGACTCAGCACAATAAGCAGAACAATTAAACTCTAACTACACCGGAACATCTCCAATCAGGTAGCGCATCAAACAGGAGTTAAGCTATTCTTGGTGTAATCAGACACATGTGCATGGTTGTCTTTGTCCAAGTCCAATTAAATGTTAATTCAGATTTTTGACACCCTGCACAGACTATCTCCTCTTACTGTTGTACACTTCCTGTATATTAAAACAAAGAGAGATAATGCCATATTAACAATGTTCCAGTGTTATCACAAGGTCTCAAGTAACTTCTCAAAACCAAAGCATGTCTGCGGTGCCTTGCTTATCTCCCTTTGCATTTCCTGGATCTTTAACAATGGATGACTCAAACGGTACATTCTTCCTCCCTTGATTCTACATTCTCCTCACTGCATATCATCTGAGATTAATGTGTCTGAGAAATTATTCGTTTGCTTATTGGTGATAAGATGTTTCCGGTTTCATGAATGTTAAATGTGAAGAGGACAATGAGAACATAACTCAATATCCGTAAATGTCAAAGATGCATCATTTCAAAACTTGTCAGTATAGGTATATATATATAACTGAAAGGGCCATCTTGAAATATTCAACATTTGGATTTGGTTGGGAAACTGGAGACAGAAATGTTAGATCAGCCATCGACAAACATCAATAAAGCTTCATGATTAGTCCACAGGCTATAAAAGAACTTGTATCAGTGACAAGTATCTACATTCATGGAGTTGAGTTTCACAAATTGTAAGAGACTGATATAACATGACAGACTAACTTCAAACAATTAATAACATTTGTGTAAAAAAAGCACCTTCAAAATAACCAAAATCATCAAAGCGTCCATGTAAAAATGAAAGTGTTGGTAAGATGAGTATTTATGCAGACAGATGCAATGCATCTCACTTTCCAGGGCAGTGGCACCGGTTCTCATCTACCCCACATAAAGCAATGGGTTTGAACCCTAAGACTTGACATTTCCTTAGTATGCAATTTAAGATAGTGCCAAACACTTTTCATTTCACAGAATAAAAAGTCTGAAGAAAGTTGATTCTGAAAATACCTGGCAGGTAACCTGTAACTAATATTAGAAATGTCAGTTTACAAATTAATGTCTGTCAAACTGAATCATAGATTTCATCTGGATATGATTCATACTCTCTTTTATTCAGCTTGGAACTCTTCAACTGCCATAAACTCAGCCAAGCAACAAGAATCTAAAACTATAAACTTAGAAGTATATGTTGAAAGGTTAATGACATTCACCACATCCAAAAGTAGCACTTCACAGATTTTAAATCTCACCTAAGCATCATGGCCAAGCTATAAGTAAGAATGTTGGTTGTGTTGTGAGGATGACAGTGTCCGAGGGGTTCACCATGCTAGTGCATGACCATCAGGTATTATCAAATAAAACAAACTGCAACATTCACGTACCTTTCAACATTTTCTCTCTCTATAATTTACCACAATTATCACCATTAGTTCCAATGATAGGGACTGTTCTAGAGACTACTGCCTTTCTAACTAGTCAGTTAACTCACTTGCCTCGGGAAGAGACTGACTGACTGACTGACTGACTGACTGACTGACTGACTGACTGACTATGTTTTTATGCTGCTTTTAGAAATATTCTAGCAATATCATGGTGAGGGACACCAGAAATGGGCTTCACACTTTGTACCCATGTGGGGAATCGAACCCAGGTCTTCGTTGTGACAAGCGAACACTTAAACCACTAGGCTACCCCACCACCCCATTTTGTAATGAACGCGTAACCACAATTCATACAGAATGCTCACCATAACTTTTCAATAGCACATTTTTGTACAGAATAATAAATTTTTCAAAGGCATGTTCACAAAGAATGGTCATGATTATTTCTGGAATGGCATGTTCTTTTCAATGGAGGTATAGACGTAGAAACCAGAGTGTTCAATATGTTAAACCATGTAAATTTATGCACAGTGGGGACACCTCCTCAATTGCAAAACAAATTAAAGTCAGTTCTTAGAAATAAATAAGTCAACATTAGTAACTTCAGACTGCCTATTTAATCATTAGCACAAAAAAACTTAGAAATCAGTGACATCGTTCAGCACAATAATGCAAAACAAGCAACACCCACACTATTATCAGCCAATCAGAAAACAGTAGACCACTAGTGGGCTTAACCTATTTGTTTTAGGTTTATGGGAACATTAACTCTTTAAAAAATTGTTTCTTAAGCCTATCAAATGCCATGGAATAACTTGCAATTTATGTATTACACACGCCTCAACCTTACACAAAAAAAGTTTGTACAAAATGGTCGCCATAACTTGTTCCATGTCAGCTACAGATTAGTCCTCCCATATAGCTTATTCAATAGCATATATTCCTACAGACTGGTCCTAATAGCTGATTCAATAGCATATATTCCTACAGACTGGTCCTACTGTTTCAATAGCATATATTCCTACAGACTGGTCCCAATAGCTGATTCAATATCATATATTCCTACAGACTGGTCCTACAGTTTCAATAGCATATATTCCAACAGAATGGTCCCACAAGCTGTTTCAATATCATATATTCCTACAGAAAGATACCCTAAAAGGTCTTAACAATATGGTCAAAAAGTTCATAAAGAATGATATCTTTTTCAATGCACATTCCTACAGAACTGTCAGTGTAACATTTAATTCCAACTGCATGTTCGCATAGATTGGTCATCACAACTTTCTAATCGAATGGACCGAGCTAGAATCTAACATAAAAAACAGAAACACCAGAACAATATGTTTACCAAATCATTATCAACCTAGCAATCAATATACAATGCAAGCTTTTGTCATCCCAGTGTGATATCCAGAGTTTAAATAGGGATTTAACAAAACAACCTCTGCAAATTGGATAGAGAGAAAAGAGTAATTATAACCTATTGACCTCCACCTGCTCATTCCCACCATCAGAACTCTTGGGGTTGTGACCATCTACTCTGATCAATCGAAATTACACTCTTTAAAACTTGTGTTTTAATCACCTGTACATTGAGTGTATTTGTATTAACGAAGGCTGAAATATGGTGCCATGATGCCCCATTTCTTGCCTGGACTGATGACACTTGCACTGGATGACCCTAATTGGTGCCAGATCTGACTAAGGGTCTTTAATACACTGAGTGACCCTCTAAATTCTTAACAATTTAATTTCAGGGTCTGTTTTTCTCAGCAATGTCAGACTCGATTAGATTTGACAGTGTCAAAGGAAAGATTTCAACCATCATTACAGCATTAATGTTTCACATTGTTTAGTTGTAGAAATAGTTTGTCAAGTCTATAGACTTGCAATTATTTGCATATAGATAAAGATTATGGCAAGTGATCTCTCTTCTGGCTAGAAACTAATTGACAAATTGTTGTTTTAGTGTCACTTTCAACAACAGTGTAAAATGTACTCTACAAAACAATTTCTAATAAAAATATACTTTAATGATTGCTCGGCAGCAAAACCCCACCTTGAAATAACATCTGATGACCACAAACAATACTTTAATAATGGACAATGAAATAATTTCAAATGGAGGGCAAAAATCAATGAAAATCATTCTGGAAAAACAGGGTGGAATTGTTAAGCCATGAACAATGGAAAAAATCCCCACAAAGTTCTTTGTTTTCCGGATTTGCCCAAAAAATTACTTCTTTGAACAATATTCCTCAACTGGAAGAAATTCTACATTGAGACTCAGACCTAATATTCTCTGAACTTGTTAAGTCGCTTGTCTTTGTCCACGACCCAAGACAATATGCAAATTAAAGTGGACTGACAAGACCACGCACTCAGACTACAGTTTTGTCCCATCAATGCCACTTTGGCACCTGATTGAGAGTTATTCGCTCATTCACAATTTTAATTATTCACATGATTATTGGATAAAGCCTGATGACAAGTTTAATGTAGAATTTTTAAATCATAATTTGCCTGTGTCAGCTGTCATAACTCATCCTTTTGATTAAGAAGAAATATTGAGATTACAATCTGATCTGATGCACACAAAAAAATAGATAAAAGAATTTTATCTGAATGTTATGATAACGCCAACAACTGACATCCCGAAATGTCAAACAGATAAAACTGAAACTAGGATAATAATTTGAAATTAAAATGAACTGCTTGTACAATGTTTTCATATAATTACCTCCATGTTTTTTCATTCAACCAAATGTACGTATATGGAGTTGAATCAACCATGCAAACAACATTCCATAATTTGGAGTTAGACCTAATGTTAAATCAAACGTAACAGTGCACATAAAATGGAGAGAGTAGGATCCCATGTCTTCTACCGTATTGTCTTTTCCTTGTTATAAACAAAAAGGGTGCTACCCATTTCATCATAAAATTAAAAGGTCACAGGGCCCTTAATAAATTCCTTTTAATGAGTCGTTTTTGG